TGGACTGGCATGGTGATTTAGAGAGGAAACAAAACGTGCAGAGACAGAGTCAGAGAGAGTAGACAGAGTCAGTCACAGTCAGAGACAGAGACCGAGTCAGAGACCGAGTCAGTCACAGTCAGAGACAGAGACCGAGTCAGAGACAGAGTCAGTCACAGTCAGAGACCGAGTCACAGTCAGACAGTTAGAGTCAGTCAGAGACAGAGTCAAAGACAGAGACAGAGTCAAAGACAGAGACAGAGTCAAAGACAGAGACAGCGTCAAAGACAGAGACCGAGTCAGAGTCAGAGAGACCGAGTCAGAGACCAGAGTCAGTCAGAGACCGAGTCAGTCAGAGACCGAGTCAGAGACCGAGTCAAAGACAGAGTCAAGAGACAAGAGTCAAGACAGAGTCAAAGACAGAGTCAAAGACAGAGTCAAGACAGAGACGAGTCAGAGTCACAGTCAGAGTCAAAGACAGAGACCGAGTCAGAGACAGTCAGAGACGAGTGAGAGAGAGTCAGAGAGAGTCAGAGTCAGAGACCGAGTCAGAGACCGAGTGAGAGAGGCCTGCTGGTATAGATAGGCGACATCCTAACGCAGAGTGGCAGTGGCAGCAACATGGGGTGGGGCTTAGCATAAAGGGGCGTGTTGTCTACCTGGTTTACCACTGCTGCCTCAGCTAATTGGCTGTCAAGACCCGAGGGTGTGTGGCCAGAGCTGCTGTTGCAGCTGACGATAACGGATGCTGGCACGCCCACTGAGACAGAGGGGGCGGGGTCATTCTCTGTCTGTCGCTGGTCCTGACATGGGCACATTAACGAGTCAGGAAGAAAGGGAGGAGAGAGAGGGATGAGGGAGGGAGGGAGATGGAGGAGGGGGGAGTAAAATAGTAAACCAGAGGTAGGTAGGTCAGACCAGGGCACCATGGTATCAGTCCATCACCCATGATGCATCACTCTGTTATCTAGTTGGCCAATGTTAACTGTTCACTTCAGATCAACAACACAATGCCAAAAGAGAGATGGAGGGGTAGAGGAGGAGAGGTACAGAGGCTTGTGAAGTGATTTTTTGGGGGGGGTTGTATCATTTTATCAGATTTACACAACATGCCTCATGCCTACCACTTTGAAGATGCAAAATATTTTTTCTTGTGAAACAAACAAGAAATATGACCAAAAAAAACAGAACTTGAGCGTGCATAACTATTCACCCCCCCCCCCCCCCCCCCCCCCCCCCCCCCCAAAGTCAATACTTTGTAGAGACACCTTTTGCAGCAATTACAGCTGCAAGTCTCTTGGGGTATGTCTCTATAAGCTTGGCACATCTAGCTACTGGGATTTTTGCCAATTTTTCAAGGCAAAACTGCTCCAGCTCCTTCAAGTTGGATGGGTTCCGCTGGTGTACAGCAATCTTTAAGTCATACCACAGATTCTCAATTGGATTGAGGTCTGGGCCTTTGACTAGGCCATTCCAAGACATTTAAATGTTTCCCCTTAAACCACTGAGTGTTGCTTTAGCAGTATGCTTAGGGTCATTGTCCTGCTGGAAGGTCAACCTCCGTCTCAGTCTCAAATCTCTGGAAGACTGAAACAGGTTTCCCTCAAGAATTTCCCTGTATTTAGCGCCATCCTTCATTCCTTCAATTCTGACCAGTTCCCCAGTCCCTGCCGATGAAAAACATCCCCATAGCATGATGATGCCACCACCATGCTTCACTGTGGGGATGGTGTTCTCAGGGTGATGAGAGGTGTTGGGTTTGCGCCAGACATAGCATTTTCCTTGATGGCCAAAAAGCTCAAATTTAGTCTCATCTGACCAGAGTACCTTCTTCCATATGTTTGGGGAGTCTCACACATGCCTTTTGGCATACACCAAACACGTTTGCTTATTATTTTCTTTAAGCAATTGCTTTTTTCTGCCCACTCTTTCGTAAAGCCCAGCTCTGTGGAGTGTACAGCTTTTTTTTATTTAACCTTTATTTAACTAGGCAAGACATTTAAGAAAAATCATTTTTTACAATGACGGCCTACACCGGCCAAACCCGGACAACGCTGGGCCAATTGTGCGCTGCCCTATGGCTTAAAGTGGTCCTATGGACAGATAATCCAATCTCCGCTGTGGAGCTTTGCAGCTCCTTCAGGGTTATCTTTGGTCTCTTTGTTGCCTCTCTGATTAATGCTCTCCTCGCCTGGTCCGTGAGTTTTGGTGGGTGGCCCTCTCTTGCCAGGTTTGTTGTGGTGCCATATTCTTTGCATTTTTAAATAATGGATTTAAATGGTGCTCCGTGGGATGTTCAAAGTTTCTAATATTTTTTTATAACCCAACCCTGATCTGTACTTCTCCACAACTTTGTCCCTGACCTGTTTGGAGAGCTCCTTGGTCTTCATGGTGCTGCTTGCTTGGTGGTGCCCCTTGCTTAGTGGTTTAGCAGACTCTGGGGCCTTTCAGAACAGAAGTATATATACTGAGATCATGTGACAGATCATGTGACACTTAAAGTCCACCTGTGTGCAATCTAACTAATTATGTGACTTCTGAAGGTAATTGGTTGCACCAGATCTTATTTAGGGGCTTCATAGCAAAGGGGGTGAATACATATGCACGCACCACTTTTTCTTAACTTTTTTTAATTTTTTCATTTCACTTCACTTCACCAATTTGGACTATTTTGTGTATGTCCATTACATGAAATCCAAATAGAAATCCATTTAGAATTACAGGTTGTACTGCAACAAAATAGGAAAAACACCAAGGGGGGTGAATACTTTTGCAAGGCACTGTAGAGGTAGAGAGGAGAGGTAGAGAGGAGAGGTAGAGAGGAGAGGAGGAGAGGGGGAGGGAGAGGGAGGGGGAGAGGGGAGAGGTTGAGAGGGAGGGTAGAGGGGAGAGGTAGAGGGAGAGGTAGAGGGGAGAGGTAGAGGGGAGAGGTGAGAGAGGGAGAGGTAGAGAGGAGAGGTAGAGGGGAGAGGGAGGTAGAGGAAGGGAGGAGGGAGAGGGTAGAGGAGAGAGTAGAGGGTGAGAGGGGAGAGAGGGTAGAGGGGAGAGGGGTAGAGAGGGAGAGGTGAGAGGGGAGAGGTAGAGGGGAGAGGTAGAGGGGAGAGGTAGAGGGGAGAGGTAGAGGGGAGAGGTAGAGGGGAGAGGTAGAGGGGAGAGGGGAGAGGGAGAGGGGAGAGGGGAGAGGGGAGAGGTAGAGGGGAGGGGGAGGTAGAGAAGAGCGGGAGAGGTAGAGAAGAGCGGGAGAGGAAGGAAGGAAGGAGAGGTAGAGGGGAGAGAGGTGGAGAGGAGAGAATTAACAGACTTTCAGCATGCTTATAGGGAAGGGCACTCAACATGTACTGCACTGACACAAATTACTGATTGGTTGAAATAAATTGATAATAAGAAGATTGTGGGAGCTGTCCTGTTAGATTTCAGTGCAGCCTTTGATATTATTGACCATAACCTGTTCTTGAAAAAAACTTGTGTTATGGCTTTAAAACTCTTCCATATTGTAGATTCAGCGCTATCTATCTAATATAACTCAAAAGGGTTTTCTTTAATGGAAGCTTCTCTAATGTCAAACATGTAAAGTGTGGTGTACCACAGGGCAGCTCTCTAGGCCCTCCACTCTTTCTATTTTTACCAATGACCTGCCACTGGCATTAAACAAAGCATGTGTGTCCATGTATGCTGATGATTCAACCATATACGCATCAGCAACCACAGCTAAGAAGTCACTGAAACCCTTAAAGAGTTTCAGTCTGTTTTGGAGTGGGTGGCCACTAATAAACTGGTCCTGAACATCTCTAAAACTAAGAGCATTGTATTTGGTACAAATCATTCCCTAAGCTCTAGACCTCAGCTGAATCTGGTAATGAACGGTGTGGCTGTTGAACAAGTTGAGGAGACTAAATTACTTGGCGTTACCTTAGATTGTAAACTATCATGGTCAAAACATATAGATTCAATGGTTGTAAAGATGGGGAGAGGTCTGTCCGTAATAAAGAGATGCTCTGCTTTTTTGACACTACACTCCAAAAAGCAAGTTCTGCAGGCTCTAGTTTTGTCTTATCTTGATTATTGTCCAGTCATGTGGTTGAGTGCTGCAAAGAAAGACCCCAGAGCTGCACGTCTTGCTCTTCATTGTAATCAGAGGGTTAATATTAATACTATGCATGCCAGCCTCTCTTGGCTAAGAGTTGAGGAAAGACTGACTGCATCACTTCTTATTTTTTATAAGAAACATTAATGTGTTGAAAATCCCAAATTGTTTGCATAGTCAACTGTGGTCCTCTGTAGCTCAATTGGTAGAGCATGGCGCTTGTAATGCCAGGGTAGTAGGTTTGATCCCCGGGACCACCCATACGTAAAAATGTATGCACACATGACTAAGTCGCTTTGGATAAAAGTGTCTGCTAAATGGCGTATTATTATTATTATTAATAAACACAGCTATGAGACACACACTTATCCCACCAGATATGCCACCAGGGGTCTTTTCACAGTCCCCAAATACAGAACAAATTCAAGAAAGCGTACAGTATTATACAGAGCCATTATTGCATGGAACTCCGTTCCATCTCATATTGCTCAAATAAACAGCAAACCTGGTTTAAAAAAAACTGATAAAGCAACACCTCACGGCACAACGCCTCTCCCCTATTTGACCTAGATAGTTTGTGTGTCTGTATTGATATGTAGGCTACGTGAGCCTTTTTAAAACATGTATATATGTAGTTCTGTCCTTGAGCTGTTCTTGTCTATTAACGTTCTGTATTATGTAATGTTTCATGTTTTAGGCGGAATATCACCTGTCCCGCAGCAAAATAACTACAGTAGCCTACCTGACATGAGTGAAAAATGTACTGGAGGCCTCCATTCACTATTCGATTGCATACGGATGGCATGTATTTTTTTTTCTTGCCCCTGTTCCTGCTCATTTCATAAATGGGCCATTCTAAATCAAAACTAATTTTACATATTAGTAAAGACAAGATTAAATTGAGAATAGTCTGCTGGGTGAAAATATGATGACTTGATGAGAGAACAGCGTGTGCAGCCTGAAGCAAGGAGCTTTCTCAAATCATCAGAAGCCAATAGTCGCATCATGCAGCCCAGATATCATCATGCAGCCCAGATATCATCATGCAGCCCAGATATCATCATGCAGCCCAGATATCATCATGCAGCCCAGATATCATCATGCAGCCCAGATATCACCATGCAGCCCAGATATCACCATGCAGCCCAGATATCACCATGCAGCCCAGATATCACCATGCAGCCCAGATATCACCATGCAGCCCAGATATCACCATGCAGCCCAGATATCATCATGCAGCCCAGATATCATCATGCAGCCCATATATCATCATGCAGCCCAGATATCATCATGCAGCCCAGATATCATCATGCAGCCCAGATATCATCATGCAGCCCAGATATCATCATGCAGCCCAGATATCATCATGCAGCCCAGATATCATCATGCAGCCCAGATATCATCATGCAGCCCATATATCATCATGCAGCCCAGATATCATCATGCAGCCCATATATCATCATGCAGCCCAGATATCATCATGCAGCCCATATATCATCATGCAGCCCATATATCATCATGCAGCCCAGATATCTTTTGATTTCTAAGGCATTCTAATGTTTGTATAATTCACAACTAAAGTTGCCAAATAACACAAAATCTAGCATATAGGAGCTATTTCAAATAATCACTTTTACGCTCAACATAGCCACTTCATATGTGCACTCTCGCTCCGTAATGGGAATAATATCCTTTCTATTTTATTTAGCTAAGTTAAATTATATTCTTCTTACTATAAAATCATATAATATAAAATAAGGGCATGGGGACTTATAAGCATATCTTGTCAGCTAAATGATCAAGCCTCCAGCCTATGGCATGGAGCATAGCCAGATAACAGACAGTAGGCCAACTCATATTCTGTTCTTCTGAAATACGTTTTCTTTATATCATAATGTTTCTTTAGACCTGAATAAAATAAATAATGGATTTATTGTGATGGTGTATATTCAATTGATTTATTAGACGTTCTAAAATGAAGATGTTCCAAAGGCGTGCATCAGCGTGGAGGCTACGACATGCTAAACGTGTTTATGTTAATTAACGGTAAATTACCGTGAGACCGGCAGACTTTTGCATGACAATAACCGGCTGACAAAATGTCATGAACGACACAGCCCAAGTAGAAAGGTAGAAATAGAGAGGTAGAGAGGGAGAGGTAAAGGGAGAGAGGGAGAGGTAAAGGTAAAGAGAAGTAGAGGTGAGGGAGAGAGGAGGAGAGGGAGAGGGAGGGAGGAGAGGGAGAAGTAGAGGAGGGAGAGGAGAGAGTAGGGGGAGGGGGAGAGGGAGGAGGGGAGAGGGGAGTAGAAGGGAGGAGAGGAGGGACGTGAGAGGAGAGAGGGAGAGGAGGAGAGGTAGGGAGGAGGGGAGAGGTAGGGAGGAGAGGGAGGGGAGGGGAGAAGGGAGAGAGGAGAGGAGGAGAGGAGGGTAGAGAGGAGAGGGGGAGAGAGGGAGAGAGAGGAGAGGGGAGAGAGGAGGGAGAGGGAGAGGAGCGAGAGAGGAGGAGAGGAGAGGGAGAGAGGAGAGGGAGAGAGAGAGGGAGAGGGGAGAGAGGAGAGGGAGAGGTAGGGGAGAGAGAGAGGGAGAGGGTTGAGAGGAGAGGGAGGAGAGGGGAGAGGGAGAGGGAGAGGGAGAGGAGAGGTAGAGAGAGGAGGAGGGAGATAGAGAGGAGAGGGAGAGAGGGAGGGAGGTAGGAGAGGAGAGGGAGAGACGTAGAGAAGAGAGAGGGAGGAGAGAGGGAGGAGAGGGAGACGTAGAGAGGAGAGGGAGACGTAGAGAGGAGGAGAGAGGAGGAGAGAGGAGAAGGTAGAGAAGAGAGAGGAGAGAGAGGGAGAGAGGGAGACGTGAGAGAGGGGAGAGGAGAGGGGAGACGAGGAGGAGGAGAGTGAGGAGAGGGAGAGTAGAGGGAGAGGGAGAGAGAGGGAGGAGAGGAGAGGGAGAGGAGAGAGAGAGGAGAGGGAGAGGGGAGAGGAGGAGGGGAGGAGAGGAGGTAGAGGAGAGGAGAGGTAGAGAGGAGAGGGAGAGGTAGAGAGGAGAGGGAGAGGTAGAGGAGAGGAGAGGGAGGAGAGGGAGACGTAGAGAGGAGAGGGAGACGTAGAGAGGAGAGGGAGACGTAGAGAGGAGAGGGAGACGTAGAGAGGAGAGGGAGGGAGAGGTAAAGAGGGAGAGATATAGGGAGAGGTAAAGGTAAAGAGGAGTAGAGATAGAGAAGAGGAGAGGTAGAGGTGGAGAGGAGGAGAGGGAGAGAGGAGGAGAGGAGACGTAGGGAGGAGAGGGAGACGTAGAGGCTGGGCCATACTGACCTGCTGGAGGAACATCTGGAGTTGTTCCTGGCTGAGGATCATGCTGGAGCCCTGGGGCCCTGTGAAGAGCACCCTGCTCCCAGGGCTGTGCTGCTGCTGGGCTGATGTGGTGGACACAGATAAGGATGGAGAAGAGGAGGAGGGGACAGAGACAGAGGGCCCAGCCTGCATAGAGAGGATGGAGGAGTGCTGAGGGGGTTGTCCAGGGTGGGCTGCCTGATCTGTACAGCTCCCACTCTCCCCAGGCTGGCCCTGTGCCATGGCAGCCGCCCCGCCCATGCCGCTGCTGGGAACGCCCCCCGGCTGCGGCTGCAGAGCAGGCTGCAGGCTGACGGCAGGACTCACCCCCTCCACCTGGCTCAGCATGGTCAGGGAGTTCTGCAAGGGCATGCCCTGGATCACTGTGTGGGCCTGGTGGCCAGTGACCGTGTGGGTCTGGCTCTGGGAGAGGGTGACCGGCATCTGGAAGAGCTGATGTCCCATCTGCCCCGGCTGCAGCTGGAGCAGAGGGTGGCCCTGAGACGTCAGCACCTGGCCCAGGTTGATGTTCTGGTGCTGAGCCAGGATCTGGTTGGCTATCAGCTGGCCCCCAGGCCCCTGGGAGGTGATGATGTGGCCCCCAGGGTGCTGCGTGAGGATCTGTCCCCCGGCTAGCTGCTGCGGCAGGAGGAACTGGTGGTTCTGCCCCCCCAGCATGATGCTGCCGGGCTGGTTGAGGAGGTGGACACTGAGGGCTTTCCCAGAGGGGTGGTGGGATGTCTGCTGTTTGAACAGAGCCTGCTGGGGGACTCCCGACTGGGAGGTCAGGACCATGTTAGAGCCAGGCTTGCCTGTCAGGAAGGCTACATTCTGGGCAGCGGAGACAGGGACCTGCTGCACCCCAAGGGCCTTGTTGGCATCGTTCTGGAGGACGTGGGCCTGGGCCTGCTGCTGCTGCTTGAACAGTTTGGGCTGGATGGCTGCGCCCCCCTGGGGGGGTTTGGGCTGGATGGGGGTCGGGGTTCGCTGGATGATCAAGTTCTGCATGATCTGTCCTTGGGGCTGGTTCTGCCCATGTTGGCCCAGTCCGGGGCTACTGAACCCAACCAAGGCTCCAGCAGCAGTCATGGTGCTACTGCCACTGTTAGTGCTGCCGACACACACCGCCGGGCCGTTTAAAGCTGGAGATCCCAGAGTGGCTTTGCCCCCTTGGATCAGAAGTCCCCCTCCCAGTCCGCCCTGCACCCCTGCCCCCTGCGCCTCGGGGCCAGGCTGGTGCAGCTGGTAGCCTCCCATGGCCTTGGCCAGGATGGGCTGTCCTGACTGGTTCATAGTCATCACAGTGGGCTGCCCTGACTGGTTCATAGTCATCACAGTGGGCTGCCCTGACTGGTTCATAGTCATCACAGTGGGCTGCCCTGACTGGTTCATAGTCATCACAGTGGGCTGGCTCATCACCTGTATCTGCCCCAGTCCCAGGTGTCCTGACTGGCAGCCGTTAGGTAGAGCCTGGAGGGTGACGTTACCCAGGCCTGCCACCTGCTGCATGAAGGGCTGCATACTGATGGCCTGGGCCTTGTTCATGACCTGGGGCCCAAACTGGAGGCCCTGTTGGGCCAGCACTGAGCCCAGCATGTCAGCTGTGGCCTGGGTAGGGGTGGCGGTGGCGCCTGGAGCTCCAGAGAAGATGGGGAGCCCAACCCCCACAGCGGTCCCTCCAGGCCCAGTCAGGCCGTCTGTACAGGGCAGCGTCTGGACCACCTGAGTCAGGCCAGGCATGGTGAGGTCGAAGGAGTCCAGGTCCAGCTCTGCCTCGGCCTCCTGCAGGCTCTGCTCTGTAATGTCGGCCTCCTGCAGGCTCTGCTCTGTAATGTTGGCCTCCGCCAGGCTCTGCTGCAGGATGTCACATGGCTCCATGTCGTTGTCGCCGATGGCACTGCTACAGTTGTCGCCCGGCGACCCGCCCAGGATGACATCATCTTCCAGGAAGTCCAGGTCCACGCTGACCCGGGGCAGGCCTGGCTGCTCATTGGACGACAGCTGGACTGGGGGCGGAACCTCTGGAACGTGGCACTATGAAGGAGAGAGAGGGGGAAGGAAGAACAGTGAAGCTCTGTGATGGGAGGAGGAGGAAAGCTGAGTAGAGATGAGATGGGAAGGAATGGGTTGAGTTGAACTGAGCCTGGACAGGCCCCCTAGAACCCCATAGTGTTATGGCTCCTACCAACCAGCCCAGGGGCATCAGAGCTTGGTGTGTGTGGATGTATGTTACTGGAAGGGTAGGGTGGCAGGGTGGGAGCGAGAGATGCATGCTACATGTATGAATGGAGACAGGAGGGTCAGAGGTCAGAGTGGGGAAGGGCCGTTACTCACCCCAGCGGAAGAGAAGTACGAGCTGGAGGGGTCGCTAGAGCCATCCAAAAGGTCGTCAGTGTCCAGCTACAGACAGACACAGCCAGGATAGGACAGATAGAGACAGAACGACAGACAAACAGGCCGGCGGGGAGGCACACGCCACAATGACAGCCAAAAATGCAGACAGACAGGGATAGAGACAGACAGACAAACCCACCAGTGACCCGGTATGGAAGAGGGGTAGCAGAGTGTATTAGAGGTGAGAGGGAGGGAGGGAGGGAGAAAAGGAAAGAAGGAACCAAAGCAGAAGAGGGCTAGTGTTAGATTAGTACCTGGTCATTTTGGCTTAATAAGGTGAAAAGGCAGGGTTGAAATCATAAAGCAAGAAACCATAAGCAGTAGCAGATCCATGGACACAGAAAACCTCCTTAGAGAGGGACGGGGAGGTGTGTGTGTGTGTGCACAAGGTGTGTGTGTGTGTGTGTGTGTGTGTGTGGGGTAGCCAGTGTGCTTGTTGAACTCAATGATTCCCTGTCGCCATGCCCAAGAGAAGTAGCCTGTGTTCTGTTAGCTGTTATCTGGTGCTAGGAAGTCAACCACACCCCATCCTCAAGAGTCAAGCCGACTGCTATGAAACACAATCCAGGTAACTCCTTAGCTTGGCCAGTACAACAGAGGCATCATAACCATCTTTGTAGGGAAATAGCAGCAACTTACATGGATCTCTGATCCATGAAGAAAATCGTTGAGTGCTTCTGGGTCACTGTGGAGAGAGGAACATCGGTCAGACAGACAGACATAACTTATTGAGGTCACATCTATTGCCCCAGTATCCTACCTAGTAGGGTTGGGCGGTATCCAGATGTTCATATCGTCACACCGTCCTTCTCTCATCCTGGGATTTACAGTATTACTGGCTAAGTTCACAAGGGGCCATTTTGAGCCTGTAATCGAACCCACAATTGCTGATGCTTCAGATCCTCAACTAGTCTCAAAAAGGCCAGTTTTATTGCTTCTTTAAATCAGCACAACAGTTCTCAGCTGTGCTAACATAATTGCAAAAGGATTTTCTAATGATCAATTAGCCTTTTAAAATGATAAACTTGGATTAGCAAACACAGCGTGCCATTGGAACACAGGACTGATGGTTGCTGATAATGGGCCTCTGTACGCCTATGTAGATATTCCATTAAAAATCTGCTGTTTCCAGCTACAATAGCCATTTACAACATGAACAATGTCTACACTGTATTTCGGATTAATTTGATGTTATTTTAAATGGACAAAAAAAAAAAAGATTTTCTTTCGGGAAAAACAAGGACATTTATGTGACCCCAAACGTTTGAACGGTACTGTATAGGGTATTTTAGTATTTCATTTTCAATACATTTGCAAACATTTCTAAAAACATGTTTTCACTGTCATTATGGGTTATTGTGTGTAGCTGGGTGAGATTTTTTTTTATTTAATCCATCTTTGAATTTAGGCTGTAACGCAACAAAAAGTGGAAGAGGTCAAGGTGTATGAATACTTTCTGAAGGCACTGCCAATGGCGGCGAGCTTTACACCACTCCAGCCGACACTTGGCATTGCGCATGGTGATCTTAGGCTTGTGTGCGGCTGCTCGGCCATGGAAACCCATTTTGTGAAGCTCCCGAAGAATAGTTATTCTGCTGACGTTGCTTCCAGAGGCAGTTTGGAACTCTGTAATTGGGCCAATGTGTGACATCAACATTTCAAAATGGATTGAAACAAAAATATAATGATTTGTATGTGTATATATATATATATATATAAAATCATTATTCCTCGTTATGTAGAGGTATATATGCTCATTAATCCACCTACACAACAACATAGGACTAGACAGTTTTTAAGCAGGGTTCATACAGACTTTTTGAAGCACTTCATTGTAATTTTCAAGGACCTCAATGTTATACAATTGTATAATTTATATAATTGTACATATAGGCCCTAATATATGGAGAAAAAAGCATTATTACTTTAAGAATAATTAATGTTTTAGGCCTTGCCAATGCATTCATATTCAAATTATTATTACATTCTAAAATGTGAGAATAGTATGGAAAGCCAAGTTGAAGCCAGGCATTAGATGTTGTCGACCTCATAATAACCTCACATGATTTTACCGCAACAGAGTAGCGCCACACCCTTCAATTGAAGTGGCGGGAAACAAACCAAAGTGGCCACGTCTCACAAAAACAAGTTAAAAATGAAATCACGGATAATTATAAAAAGGGAGCAGGAGAACTTACACATTTCCTACAATAATAACAAGGATGAGGAAATATCTGGTTTTCAAGGTAGGCTTATTCCAGTACTCCAAATTCAAGTTCAGTAGGCTACTTCAGGCCCCTAGTATTGTTTAAAATCGCAGGTGTAACATGGAAACCAAAACGTATTTGTCCTGTTATTATACCTGATCATATTGTGAAGAAGCCCACTAGGCTGTTATTTGTTGTCATTGTATCCTGAATAGGAATAGCTCAGTTGGTAGAGCATGGTAGTGCATGGTAGAGTATGGTAGTGCATGGTAGTGGATGGTAGTGGATGGTAGTGGATGGTAGAGCATGGTAGTGGATGGTAGAGCATGGTAGTGCATGCTAGTGGATGGATCATGTGTCATGGTAGTGGATGGTAGTGGATGGTAGTGGCATGTAGTGCATGGTAGTGGTGTAGTGCATGGTAGTGGATGGTAGTGGATGGTTAGTGGATGGTAGTGGATGGTAGTGTGTAGGATGTAGTGGATGGTAGGATGGTGTTAGAGCATGGTTAGTGGAGCGTAGTGGATGGTAGTGGATGGTATAGGTGATGGTAGTGGATGGTAGTGGATGGTAGTGGATGGTAGAGCATGGTAGAGCATGGTAGAGCATGGTAGTGCATGGTAGTGGATGGTAGTGGATGGTAGTGGATGGTAGTGGATGGTAGTGGATGGTAGTGGATGGTAGTGGATGGTAGAGCATGGTAGAGCATGGTAGTGGATGGTAGTGGATGGTAGTGGATGGTAGTGGATGGTAGTGGATGGTAGTGGATGGTAGTGGATGGTAGTGGATGGTAGTGGATGGTAGTGGATGGTAGTGGATGGTAGGGAGATGGTGTATAGTGGATGGTAGAAGCATGGTAGTGGATGGTAGTGGATGGTAGTGGATGGTAGAGCATGGTAGTGGATGGTAGTGGATGGTAGTGGATGGTAGTGGATGGTTAGTGCATGGTAGGGATGGTAGAGCATGGAAATGTAGGCATGGTAGTGGATGGTAGAGCATGGTAGTGGATGGTAGTGCATGGTAGTGGATGGTAGTGGATGGTAGAGGATGGTAGTGGATGGTAGTGGATGGTAGTGCATGGTAGTGGATGGTAGTGGATGGTAGTGGATGGTAGTGGATGGTAGTGCATGGTAGAGCATGGTAGTGGATGGTAGTGCATGGTAGTGCATGGTAGTGCATGGTAGTGCATGGTAGTGCATGGTAGTGCATGGTAGTGCATGGTAGTGCATGGTAGTGCATGGTAGAGCATGGTAGTGGATGGTAGTGGATGGTAGTGGATGGTAGAGGATGGTAGAGGATGGTAGAGGATGGTAGTTAGGCATGTAGGATGTTAGAGCATGGTAGTGGATGGTTAGTGGATGGTAGATTAGGCATGGTTAGTGCATGGTAGTGGCATGGTGTAGTGATGGTAGTGCATGGTAGTGCATGGTAGTGCATGGTTAGAGCATGGTAGTGCATGGTAGTGGGATGGTAGTGGATGGTAGTGGATGGTAGAGGATGGTAGGGATGGTAGTGGATGGTAGTGGATGGTATAGAAGGCATGGTAGTAGAGCATGGTAGAGCATGGTAGTGGATGGTAGTGGATGGTAGGAGTGGATGGTAGTGATGGATAGTGTTAGTAGGATGGTAGGGATGGTAGGGATGGTAGTGGATGGTGTTAGAGCATGGTAGTGCATGGTAGTGGATGGTGGTAGTGGATGGTAGTGGATGGTGGTAGTGGATGGTAGTGGATGTAGTGATGTAGTGATGGTAGTGGATGGTAGAGCATGGTAGTGCATGGTAGTGCATGGTAGTGGATGGTAGTGGGCATGGTAGTGCATGGTAGTGGCATGGTAGGTAGGCATGGTAGTTGGCATGGTATTAGAGCATGGTAGTGGATGGTAGTGGATGGTAGGGATGGTAGAGGATGGTAGAGGATGGTATGAGAGGATGGTAGGATGGATGTGTAGTGCATGGTAGTGCATGGTAGTGGATGGTAGTGGATGGTATAGAGGATGAGGATGTAGTGCATGGTAGTGCATGGTAGTGGATGGTAGCAGTGGATGGTAGTGGATGGTAGTGGATGGTAGAGGATGGTAGTCAGGATGTGGATGGTAGTGGATGGTAGTGGATGGTAGTGGATGGTAGTGCATGGTAGTGCATGGTAGTGGCATGGTTAGTGGCATGGTATGGGTAGTGCATGGTAGTGCATGGTAGTGCATGGTAGTGGATGGTAGAGGATGGTAGAGGATGGTAGAGGATGGTAGTGGATGGTAGTGGATGGTAGTGGATGGTAGTGGATGGTAGTGGATGGTAGTGCATGGTAGAGCATGGTAGAGCATGGTAGAGCATGGTAGAGCATGGTAGTGGATGGTAGTGGATGGTAGTGCATGGTAGTGGATGGTAGTGGATGGTAGTGGATGGTAGTGGATGGTAGAGGATGGTAGTGGATGGTAGTGCATGGTAGAGCATGGTAGTGCATGGTAGTGGATGGTAGTGGATGGTAGTGGATGGTAGTGGATGGTAGAGGATGGTAGAGGATGGTAGTGGATGGTAGTGGATGGTAGTGCATGGTAGTGCATGGTAGTGGATGGTAGTGGATGGTAGTGGATGGTAGTGGATGGTAGAGCATGGTAGTGGATGGTAGTGGATGGTAGTGGATGGTAGTGCATGGTAGTGGATGGTAGTGGATGGTAGTGGATGGTAGTGCATGGCGTTTGCAACGCCAGGGTTGTGGGTTCGGTTGTGGGTTCAATTCCCACGGGGGGCCAGTATGAAAAATGTATGCACTCACTAACTGTAAGTCGCTCTGGATAAGAGCGTCTGCTAAACGACTAAAATGTAAAAATGTGTTGGGTGTTGCGCAATAGTCTATCCTACACAATTGCGCACAGTAGACTGTGTCCAATCCGAGCCTTTTCTGTTAAATCTGACGAGACCCTGCTGTAAATCAAGCAGACAACAACAGATGATCAACATCAATTTGCTAGGGATATCAGATCCATCGTGGATCCAGTCACAACCTGTCTTTACCGCGTAACAAACGAGACACCAACATTTTCTGGATATTCCTCGCGGACACTTTTTTCCAGAACTTGGGCTGTTGTTGCATCGCACTCACAACAGCTGTTCGTCAAATGTTATTTGTCACATGCGCCGAATACAACAGGTGTAGACCTTACAGTGAAATGCTTACTTACAAGCCCTTAACCAACAAAGCAGTTTTAAGAAAATAGAGTTAAGAAAATATTTACTAAATAAAATAAAGTAACAAATCTAATAAAAAGCAACAATAAAATAACGAGGCTGTACACAGGGGGTACCGGTACCGAGTCAATGTGCGGGGGTACAGGTTAGTTGAGGTTATTATGCATAGATCATAAACAGCGAGTAGCAGGGGGAGGGGGGGGGGGGGGGGGGGGGGGCAATGTAAATAGTCCGGGTGGCCATTTGATTAATTGTTCATTAGTCTTATGGCTTGGGGGTAGAAGCTGTTGAGAAGTCTTTTGGACCTAGACTTGGCACTCCGGTACCGCTTGCCGTGCGGTAGCAGAGAGAACAGTCTATGACTAGGGTGGCTGGAGTCTTTGACAATTTTTAGGGCCATACCAGGCAGTGATGCAACCGATCAGGATGCTCTCGATGGTACCACTGTAGAACTGTTTGAGGATCTGGGGACCAATGCTAAATCTTTTCAGTCTCCAGAAGGGGAAAAGGAATTGTTGTGCCCTCTTCACAACTTTCTTGGTGTGTTTGGACCATGATCGTTTTTTGGTGATGTGGACACCAAGGAACTTGAAACTCTTGACCCGCTACACTACAGCCTTGTTGATGTGAATGGGGGCGTGTTGGGCCCTCCTTTTCCTGTAGTCCACGATCAGCTCCTTTGTCTTGCTCACATTGAGGGAGAGGTTGTTGTCCTGGCATCACACTACCAGGTCTCTGACCTCCTCCCTATAGGCTGTCTCATCGTTGTCGGTGATCAGGCCTACCACTGTTGTGTCGTCAGCAAACTTGATGATGGTGTTGGAGTCATGTTTGGCCACTCAGTCGTGGGTGAACAAGGAGTAGAGGAGGGGACTGAGCATGCACCCCTGAGGGGCCCCTGTGTTGAGGATCAGCGTGGCAGATGTGTTGTTACCTACCCTTACCACCTGGGGGCGGCCCGTCAGGAAGTCTAGGATCCAGTTGCAGAGGGAGGTGTTTAGTCCCAGGATCCTTAGCTTAGTGATGAGCTTTGTGGGCACTATGGTGTTGAACGCTGAGCTGTATTCAATGAACAGCATTCCCACATAGGTGTTATTTTGTCCAGGTGGGTAAGGGCAGTGTGGAGTGTGATTGAGATTGCGTCATCTGTGGATCTGTTGGGGTGGTATGCGAATAGGAGCGGGTCTAGGGTTTCCGGGATGATGGTGTTGATGTGAGCCATGACCAGCCTTTCAAAGCCCTTCATGGCTACAGACGTGAGTGCTACGGGGCGGTAGTCATTTAGGCAGGTTACCTTCACTTTCTTGGGCACAGGGACTATGGTGGTCTGCTTGAAACATTTAGGTATTACAGACTGGGTCAGGGAGAGGTTAAAAATGTCAGTGAAGACACTTACATTTACATTTTAGTCATTTAGCAGACGCTCTTATCCAGAGCGACTTACAGTTAGTGAATTATTATTTTTCATACTGGTCCCCCGTGGGAATCGAACCCACAACCCTGGCGTTGCAAACGCCATGCTCTATCAACTGAGCTACATCCCTGCCGGCCATTCCCTCCCCTACCCTGGACAACGCTAGGCCAATTGTGCGCTGCCCATGAGTCTCCCGGTCGCGGCCGGCTGCGACAGAGCCTGGATTCGAACCAGGATCTCTAGTGGCACAGCTAGCACTGCGATGCAGCGCCTTAGACCACTGCACCACTCAGGAGACTAGTTGCCAGTTGGTCCGCGCATGCTCTGAGTACACGTCGTGGTAATCCGTCTGGCAAATGCGCATCCAACAGGTATTATGCATAATTATTGAAGAACCACGTTAATGACACTATTGATTTGGGTTTTAAGTATCAAGGTAAGGCGACTCTTTCAGTTAGAAGCATTCGATTTTGCAATCCCATACATTTTGGGGGATTTGTGAGCCCATCAAAACCGTTTTCACCCCATAACTTAAAGGAGACTTGAAATGTTACCTAGTTACATTGCATTTCTGAGATCTACAGTGAGGGAAAAAAGTATTTGATCCCCTGCTGATTTTGTATATTTGCCCACTGACAAAGAAATGATCAGTCTATAGTTAATGGTAGCTTTATTTGAACAGTGAGAGACAGAATAACAACAAAACAATCCAGAAAAACGCATGTCAAAAATGTTATAAATTGATTTGCATTTTAATGAGGGAAATAAGTATTTGACCCCCTCTCAATCAGAAAGATTTCTGGCTCGCAGGTGTCTTTTATACAGGTAACGAGCTGAGATTAGGAGCACACTCTTAAAGGGAGTGCTCCTAATCTCAGTTTGTTACCTGTATAAAAGACACCTGTCCACAGAAGCAATCAATCAATCAGATTCCAAACTCTCCATCATGGCCAAGACCAAAGAGCTCTCCAAGGATGTCAGGGACAAGATGGTAGACCTACACAAGGCTGGAATGGGCTACAAGACCATCGCCAAGCAGCTTGGTGAGAAGGTGACAACAGTTGGTGCGATTATTCACAAATGGAAGAAACACAAAAGTACTGTCAATCTCCCTCGGCCTGGGGCTCCATGCAAGATCTCACCTCGTGGAGTTGCAATGATCATGAGAACGGTGAGGAATCAGCCCAGAACTACACGGGAGGATCTTGTCAATGATCTCAAGGCAGCTGGGACCATAGTCACCAAGAAAACAATTGGTAACACACTACGCCGTGAAGGACTGAAATCCTGCAGCGCCCGCAAGGTCCCCCTGCTCAAGAAAGCACATATACAGGGCCGTCTGAAGTTTGCCAATGAACATCTGAATGATTCAGAGGAGAACTGGGTGAAAGTGTTGTGGTCAGATGAGACCAAATTCGAGCTCTTTGGCATCAACTCAACTTGCCATGTTTGGAGGAGGAGGAATGCTGCCTATGTCCCCAAGAACACCATCCCCACCGTCAAACATGGAGGTGGAAACATTATGCTTTGGGGGTGTTTTTCTGCTAAGGGGACAGGACAGCTTCATCGCATCAAAGGGACGATGGACGGGGCCATGTACCGTCAAATCTTGGGTGAGAATCTCCTTCCCTCAGCCAGGGCATTGAAAATGGGTCGTGGATGGGTATTCCAGCATGACAATGACCCAAAACACAAGGCCAAGGCAACAAAGGAGTGGCTCAAGAAGAAGCACATTAAGGTCCTGGAGTGGCCTAGCCAGTCTCCAGATCATAATCCCATAGAAAATCTGTGGAGGGAGCTGAAGGTTTGAGTTGCCAAACGTCAGCCTCGAAACCTTAATGACTTGGAGAAGATCTGCAAAGAGGAGTGGAACAAAATCCCTCCTGAGATGTGTGCAAACCTGGTGGCCAACTACAAGAAACGTCTGACCTCTGTGATTGCCAACAAGGGTTTTTCCACCAAGTACTGAGTAATGTTTTGCAGAGGGGTCAAATATTTATTTCCCTCATTAAAATGCAAATCAATTTATAAAATTTTTGACATGTGTTTTTCTGGATTTGTTTGTTGTTATTCTGTCTCTCACTGTTCAAATAAACCTATCATTAAAATTGTAGACTGATCATGTCTTTGTCAGTGGGCAAACGTACAAAATCAGCAGGGGATCAAATACTTTTTCCCCCCCTCACTGTATATACAAAAAACTGTCCGACAGCTAGATCCAGGATTCTTACAGGGTTAAAATTCAACTGATTAATGCTTAATATATGCTATAGGGACAACTTACACTGCCATAAATGCAAGGCCAGATAATTAATGTTTTGTGTCACACGATTTTGGAGAAATCCGTCAAGACACCAACCATGATAAAGGGTTAAACACAGGTCTTTAATGTTCCATGTTCCCCTCTTATATCTTTAATGTAATTACATGAATAAAATGTGGCAGATTACTATCAATTATTTATCAACAGCTGTAACACGTTGTCCATTGTAGGAAATCCTCACTGATGCCCTACTTTATAAAGACCCACATGAAAAATAGATGTAAAAATTATTACAACGTTGGTCTCTCTGATCCGAGTAATAGTTTGATATTGTGAATATTATTATTAATTTTTTTTACTTGTCCCGGACAAGGTATTGAAAAACCATCCTGTGGCCATTTTAAAATACCCCGGTATAGGTGTATATACGGTATACCGCCAAAGCCTGCTACATAGACTGAACCAATGTCTTGGCCAGGTACACTAGACGGTGTGTACAGTGGATAATAATCAATACTTTGAAGAGGATGAACATAACAGCTTGGATAAAATGAACTCACCAAATTACATCTAGCAGGCACCTGCCGTCTTCATCGTCCATGTCAACTGCAAACACATTCACATCCCCAAAAATGATTAGTTCATTACATCAAATCATTATATTCACCACTCCAGTATAAATAGATGTTTACAAACAATTTCCTTCAGATTTTCTATACAGATAGCGGTAATCAAACTGATGACAATACTGCCTTGTCTGTTGTGGGGGGGGGGGGGCACAAAGTGTAAAGTGGTTGGCTATATCAAACAGAGCTTGTGTAATCCTTTTGGTAAACCAACATACTATCAACAAGAGGCGTAGCCTATATATGGGATACAAAGATACATTTACATTTTAGTCATTTAGCAGACGCTCTTATCCAGAGCGACTTACAGTTAGTGAATGCACACATTTTCATACTGCCCCCCGTGGGAAACGAACCCACAACCCTGGCGTTGCAAGCGCCATGCTCTACCAACTGGGATACAGGGCACTATACAAACAAAGTCTTACTGGATCATTATTGCATGAATATCACATTTCAAATGTGCATCTTTAAAAGGGGTTTTATCAGTGTAAATTCACTGAATCCAACCATCCCAGGCAAGTGACATGCTGCGAGGAGGCTCTCTGTCTAATTCTAGGAAAACTGAGACCTGTCCCTCCACAGGCAAGCCAACTGGCTGCACTGAAAGTTTGATAATCGTTTAGGGGGAAGTTGTGGTATTTATCTCCATTTTGTGTTCTGGTGGAAGGAACAGACTTCCAACCAAAGGTCCTAGGCCACAGTACATGTTCGTCACAAGGTTCAGAACCTAAACACAGCATTGTGACACCACGATACTTGATTGGTCCAAAAAAGAAAAACATGAAGCAACCTAAACAAACTCCACAGGCCTTTAACAGCCTGAAGTAAAATATTGTGTGGCCGACAATGTCATCAAAATGATGTCCGCACATTGATGTGTCCGGAAGGCTTGCATTGTTATGGTTCTGAATGGTCAGATAGCTAGCAACAATGACAAGGAGCTGCCATGTGGGGAATCGTAGGAGGTTCTTTCAGCTAGTTTTATCTTGTTCTTGATACCATGTCTCGTTTTGAAGTGTTTTGACTGATGTCATGTCGACGCTAATATGGCTCAAATTCGCTAGCAAGCTAACCAACAACTAACAAAGTTTTTGAGATACAAGTGCTCATTGTGCAAATGTATTTATGTTTTAATAAACATTGAGACAAAATATAGTTTACGTGTTGTCAACAATCTAAGCCAACCCCGTTCAGTTTTGCCCCATAGTTGCACAGGGGTTGGTTTTGTTGCAAATATGTGAGCAACTATGGGGCAAAACAGATGGGCTTGGCTTAGTCTTTTGACAACACGTAAACTATATTTTGTCTCAATGTTTATTAAAACATAAATAAAGTTGCACAATGTGCACTTATCGCTCAAATACATCCTTCCAGTTGTTGGTTGACGTTTGCTAGCTAGAAAATATTAGTATAGACGTGAAATCAGTCAAAACACCTCAAAAACAAGACATGGTATCAAGAACAAGATCAAACGAGCTTAAACGAGCCACTTACGATTCTTCACAGAACTGAGCAGAACATAGCATTTTGAAAACAACATAGCTAAGTATGCAAAGCTTCACCACATGAAAAACCACCAGGGGAAACAATCAGGTTGAAATATTGACAGGACAGGAAAAATTTAAAAAACTTTCCAGATTGATTTAACTTGTCCCACCCAGACCGTTAGGGCTAATGACATACATAGCCTATTGATTATCAGTGATCTGAAATCTTAAAATCACTGCTCTTGAATAGTTATCTTGCTATTAAAATCTCCAAAACAATCTGAACATTACCATAAAAAGTATATGTAGTCTAAGCTAAGCATACATTAACATAACACCTCGGCCCGTAGTATCACCACAATCAAATGTGATGCGATTCGGTCTTTCCATCGCTAATATCACCACTACCACCTAGTCACAATAAAATGCAATGCTCTTCTTTGAGCAAACCACACTCTGGGTTAAAAACGCGCGGTTTTCACTCACTCGGTTATCATTCAATGTTCAGATAATATTTTATACAAGCAGAGATAATTACAATTGCTAAATTCCGAGAGGCCAAATGTTTACGTTACTAGTAAACTGTACGAAGATGTTGGCTGAAAGCAGCTATGTTTTAAAATCTCTCTGCTATGACCGTATCGACAAAAACAAGTTGAGTAGCTAACAGAGTAGATTCTGAGATTAGGTAGGCGGAGACGAGAGCAGCGGATTTGCGCCGAAAAAACAGTGTAAGAAATATAAAAGAGGACAAAATCTCCATTTGCCGCTCTCCAGGATGTTGGTTGGTAGCAGTCTAAAGCGGTCGTAGCCATTGCACAGCCAGCAGGGCAGAGAAGAGCGGTGCGCAGCATATGAATGGAGGGACACTGCGAGCGGATAGCTATCTTCGGTGGTTTCACTTAGCGTTGTATGAATCTAATATAGTTACATGATCATATAATTGTTTTGCCCTGTAGCTACAGGGTTTCCTCTAAAATAATTCGCATGTTCGTTTGATGTCTATTTGTCTGAATCTGCTAGCTATTTTGAACCTTTTGATGCATAGCTTCCATTTCGTTAGCATTAGCTGCTAGGTAGCTAACATACCATCAACATTTGTGTCACAGATTCCGACATAGTATACATTTGACATTTAAAACACATCACAAGCGGGTTTAGTATCAAAACACTTGTAATGCACGGTAGCGTTGCATCTTAGCTTGCCCGATGCATTATTTTGTTTGCCTTAAATGCAATTGCGTAGCCAGCTCTCCTTGCAAGCAAAATATGAGTTAATGTTGGAATACTCTTGGACCAGGGGGTATGTTTGGGAATTCGTTGGAAATTGAAACGGTTTGCCTCGCAGTGCAGGACTACGGCATTTAAGATCACGGCAGATGCGAGGTTTGCAATTCGCTTGCAGTACGCAAATGTTGCAGCTTATTATTAGTTATTCAGATTAATAGAGAAATTGCTACATTGTAACAAACTCACCCGAGACGATAGAGGTGCAGGCAGCGCGGGGTCTCCAGGACAGCCTTGCACGGGCTTCCATACAGGACCCAGCTACAGGCAGGAAATAGAGGACCGTTCGGTTCGCCTGTTCAAAATCATTGTTTTGTGTGCATTCAATCGACAAAATCCCTCAACCTTCCATGAACCTTGAGCGCCAGTTTATCCATCATAGTAACTCCTTTATCCTCGTGAAACAGCCAATGATCCAATTTAGACAAGTTAAAAATGAATGCTCTGTCATACAGATAATTATATGGCTGCAAACCTTTTTATTTTACTGTCAATAAACAAAACATATTTAAACAGTGTGCAGTTTTGTAATGCGTTTTTGTTGTTATAGCTTTAAGCGTATATCCACTGTTAGAAACTTAGACATTATCACTTGTATTTACCATCATAATTCAAATGGGTTGAGGTTATGCTATTAGCATTTTATGTCTGAGATTGTGGTAATAACCAGGGTATTGGGGGTAATAACCTATTTCCCAGTGAATAACTGAGTGTCGCAGGCGTTCTACACCGAGTATACCAAACATTAGGAACACCTTCCTAATATTGAGTTGCACCACGCTTCCCCACCCCCCTTTGCCCTCAGAACAGCCTCAATTCGTCAGGGCATGGGACTCTACAAGGTGTCAAAACGTTCCACAGGGATGCTGGCCCATGTTGACTCCAATGCTTCCCACAGGTGTGCCAAATTGGCTGGACGTCCTTTAGGTGGTGGACCATTCTTGATACACGGGAAACTGTTGAGCGTGAAAAAACCCAGCGGCGTTATTATTCTTCACACAAACGGGTGCTCCTGGCACCTACTACCATACCCCGTTCAAAGGCACTTCTATATTTTGTCTTGCCCATTCACCCTCTGAATGGCACACACACACAATCCCCATGTCTCAGTTGTCTCAAGGATTTAAAATCCTTCTTTAACCTGTCTCCTCCCCTTCATCTACACCAGGGATCATCAACTAGATTCAGCTGCAGGACGATTTTTTTCTTGAGTGGATGGTCAGTGGCCGGAACATAATTAGAAATAAGCCCAAACAGATATAATATTTGACTAAAACATAATCATTTCAAACCTTGCTTACGTTCGTATACGATCACGTGTCTCTCTTTTATGCGTGGGAATACTTGGGAACAGATTTCCTAAATTAAAATAACTTGGAGCTGATTTCCTGGTATTTTTTACAGACTTTTAGGTCCAACCATGAAAATAAATAAATGTTGTTTTTTGCTCCGAAAACTTGAGTGGCCAAATAAAACCACCGCCAGTTGGGGAACCCTTGACCTACACTGAAGTGGATTTAACAAGTGACATTAATAAGTTATCATAGCTTTCACCTGGTCAGTCCATGGCATGGAAAGAGCAGGTGTTCTTCATGTTTTGTACACTCCGTGTATAACATAGCATGTGTCCATATAATTTAAAATACCGGTAGGTATGTGTCCTGAAGTTACAGGCAAATAAACGGCTACCCTCCTCTGCCTCAGAGCTGCTTTAGTGACAAAGCTATTTTATTTGTGATTATATATAGCTTGTTATGTGATTGGCCGATACCAAAAAATTAAAGGGCGTGATCATGTAAATCATGACTACAAAAGATGTGCGTTAGGTCGTTTACCTCCAGCATACAGGGAAAGTGATTGGCAGTTTAAAGAGCTATTTTTCCTGGGGGGCGTGGTTTGAGTTGTTGTTTACACTCAGTGATTGGTTGAATTTGAACGAGGACTAGAGATAATTTGCCCATTTGGGTGTGGTTACATAATGTTCTTCTCGTTGATTTTGACACAACAGTCAAATTATATGTTATGAAAATTAACACACATTGGCCTTTTCATAGAAATCATATTCACATGGTGTTGAATGCAGCATGCATTTAGAGGCCATTTGGGATATCTGGCCACTGGCCAGTGGCCAACTCTGACAGAGGTCATATCGCTCAGCACACTCCTACTAGGAAGGTATTTTGCGAGCTATTTCCTTGATATGGATGCATGGGGTTGCCTATTTTGCATGTTATTTTTGCATTAATACGTGTCACATATCAGTTTGCAAACAATGTAAAAATAAATACAAATTGTTACACGCATACACACATGGTCTCTTTTATGCTTCCTTGAGTAAGGCAGCTCCAAAATGCAGGTGTTTCAGCCTAGCTCAGTGCTTTCTGTGGTGGTGGGGAAGCCAGCGGAAAATACAGAGCGTAGGGGTTGGTAATGTTCTCTAGTTGCGCAGCGATTGGCTCAGTGTTCTGTCACTCACGGGGACACTACTTCACTGCCAAATCTAAGGGTAGAACTCGAAAATTCAAGCCCCTTGGGTGCTGCCATAGAGTTACATTAGATTTTTTTGTTGTTATTCTGTCTCTCACTGTTCAAATAAACCTACCTATTAAAATTATAGACTGATAATTTCTTTGTCAGTGGGCAAACGTACAAAATCAGCAGGGGATCAAATACTTTTTTCCCTCACTGTAGCAGTCCCGTCGAAATCCTGTGGTCAGAATATATGGATCCCTCTGGGTGCTGGGGTGTAGGTGGCTGGATCCGGTCGCCCAGCTGGTCCCGACAGATCGGGTCCTCTCCTCTCCAGGCGTTGGACGACCTGGAGAACCCTATCCATCGCTTCTCCCAAGCTGGCTAGCATCGTCGAATGCTCCTGGACCCGTGCCACGACTCCAGGCATGCGCTCCTCTCCTGCTGACTCCATGGCGGGTGGGTGATTCTGTGATGGGTGATTTGAAGGAGACAGGCGCAGGAGGGTAAATCACAGAATACAGAGTTTATTCCAGGAATACAGAGTTACGCAGAAATGCGTCAAACTGTCCAGTGCGCAAAACAGGAGCACCGGAACCAAACAGGCACACAGGGAAAATATACCCCGGTAATACAAAATACACAGAGCTGACCCGAGCTACACTCTCCTCACAATAAACAATCACCCACAAGGACAAGGGGGCAGAGGGAACACTTATACACATACTAATGAGGGGATATGAACCAGGTGTGTGAAATAAACAAGACAAAACAAATGGAATGATGAGATGAGGAGATGAGGAGCGGCAGTGGCTAGAACGACGAAGCCTGCCCGAACCAGGAGAGGAGGCAGCTTCGGAGGAAGTCGTGACAGACTGCTAGATTTTATGGGTATTATGACTCATACTGTAGTACTCTATAGCTAGGGCATATCTCTCATCTAGCAATATAAACTGTTGGTTTAGCTGTATAGCATAAATGACCAATGGTTAGCTAGGTAGCTAGGCTATATCAGTCAGCTAACCATTTACAGTAACAGCAGTTCATTATAAGTCAATACACACTACATTTTATGCAGTAATTGAGAAATCTTACCTTGGCACTGTGGCACAGTATGGGCAGCTATTAATCAATTAATCAATAGATTAATAGAATGGAGTTAGAAGGGTGAACTTCTACTATGAAAGGAAGTGTTGTCTGTGCCCTAGTTTATAGAAAGACCCACTGGTACCCTAGTTTATAGAAAGACCCACTGGTACCCTAGTTTATAGAAAGACCCACTGGTGCCCTAGTTTATAGAAAGACCCACTGGTGCCCTAGTTTATAGAAAGACCCACTGGTACCCTAGTTTATAGAAAGACCCACTGGTACCCTAGTTTATAGAAAGACCCACGGGTACCCTAGTTTATAGAAAGACCCACTGGTGCCCTAGTTTATAGAAGACCCACTGGTACCCTAGTTTATAGAAAGACCCACTGGTACCCTAGTTTATAGAAAGACCCACTGGTGCCCTAGTTTATAGAAATACCCACTGGTACCCTGGTTTATAGAAAGACCCACTGGTGCCCTAGCTTATAGAAATACCTTTATACAGGACATACCACCTCCTCTGGAGCTATATGAAGCCCACCACATTAACCATAAACCTTACCTAACCTTAACCATCGTAAATGACGACTTCACTTGGGTAGGGATGTCCCAAGGATTCTGGATAGCATGAACCATCAAAGCAGCTTAAAGTTCCCATGTCACGTGACAGGGGTGATAGTTACATTGTGGCAACATGGTCATGTGACAGGAAGAACCAATGTGGATACTTTGATTACCGTTCTCCTAGCAGCAGGCTAGCAACATACATCTCTTTATGTTCCAAGGCAGCAGGATATTATGCTGGCAGCACGATGGCAGATTTTTTCTTCTTCTCCAAAATAAGAATCCCCCTGCAGAGACATGCTAAACTTTGGGAATATCGATTTTTTTTTAGCACTCTAGTGCAGTACAACTGTTTTGCACTGCAACCACCTTTGAAAAAATTAATTGATCATTTTATGTATTTTACACAAATACTGGTATGTTGAGAGCTAATTGTGTAGGCTATATTTAAAGAAATACACTTTTAATCGAATACAAATATATATTATTGGAATTACTCAATAGAGTCTGCTAAACTTCAATGGGTCTCTTGTGCTGAGCAACCGGTTTACAGTTTTTCTCCATTGGTTTGGCTCATTTCTTGAAACAGAAATTACATTCTCAAAACTCTAAGATCATTTGGCAAAACAGTCTTACAGTTCAGCACAACACTATAGCTCACTTGCAAAAGCTCATATCTCTCCTAAAACTGTTCACTCATGCTTCAAAACTAAATTCCTTTCCCATATAAGGAGTCAGTGCCACGAAAATGGCAAAGATCCTTCTCAATTGCTTTGGCTCATTTCTTGAAACAGACCGGACGTTCTCAACACTCTTGGTGCTTTAGCCAAAATAACGTGGATGGTTCGGCACAACACCATGGTTCACCTGCAAAAGCTCATACCTCTCCCAAAACAGTTCACGCATGTGTCAAAACTAAATTTCCTTCTCATTTAAACAGTCAGTGCCCCCAAAATGCTTCGTCCCTTTGGCATTGTGTAAGCACTGCAAGTCAAAATGTTTAGATGTTTTGTCACTATGGCAGAGGACCATTGAAATATCCCTCATGTCCACCTTTCAGTCTTAGCCCAGTCCTTCATTGACAATGGTTACTGTACTGTTTTTTGTCTAGCTAACAGAATACAATTG